GGAGGAAAGCCCGAAGTGATGCAGGTATCAGACGTTTACCACTTTGGTGAAACCCACAAGCACGGGTATGGTGCTGACAAACTAGAAACATAATTGGGGCGAAACCGGGATTTCAAACCCACAATCATAGGTTTCTGGCGTGCCCAAGGGACGCAACTCTGCACAGCGAATCGCGGCATTAGACAACTGGGCCACCCGTGCCTCCACGGGTATTACAACTAATAATGGTGCAAAATTCAATTAATCTTGTTAAATTGACACCATCTTAATTTCATCCACATTTTGAAACCTGACTACAAATGTCACAATTTTGAAACCATGACTTCTCATCACTGTTTCTAAATTAACTACAGGAGTACCATAATAACTTGAAGCCTTATGTAGACATCCCACTATTGTTCTTACAGTAGATCCCCAGCCAGCAATTCACTGATCATTCTGAACATGCATTTATACAAGTAAAACTGATGCAACTACAGGTCAATATGCCAAAATATAGAGAAATCATGTTTCAACCATGACATGGGGCTCAGTATTTCAGTAGATTCCACTCCCAGAATCATCAGATTTTCATGATTTCTCCATAAGATAACAAAATGATGTAATGTTAGCAACACATGTTGTCCTGACCACTACAGCAAACCTCAAGAAGTGAGTTAATGCTGCTATTAGTGATATTTCAGTCATGTTTAGGTCGTCAGTTTTTTATATTAATTAATCCAAATTAAAGCAGGTTGTTGATTTGGTAAAACCTAGGGCATTGGTGCCACCAGGCAAGCCTACAAAATGTGGTAAATCATGGACTCGAACCAGAGAACCTCAGCCCACTGGGCCATCCAATGCTACCTCAAGGCTGCATCAATTCCCTATTTTAACATGAACCATATGTTCCTGTGCTTTTTCAGGTGAATTGACTTGCCTATGCATGTGTTTGTGATGGGTACCATCGGTGGGGCAGGATATGCTCACCTTTTCGCAAACACCTATGATCATCACTATTTGATAGTGATTCACAAACACATGTTCAAGATATAGTTGGAATCCTACAATCGACTCTGCTTTATGCAGAGATTTCTATTGGATGTGGAAAGGGTTTTGTTGCTTTATCAATATTATGTCACAAGTTGACTTAGTTTGTTTACAGACCACCGTCATAGAGCTGGAATATTGCTGAGTGTGGCGTTAAACAAAAAACAAACAAAAAAACAAACTTAGTTTGGTTAATTTATGCAGAAATGATTGGAATGGGGATGGATGGGTTTGGTTTTGATTCAATATGAATTTACTGACAAGAAATACAAGCAATTCCATGGTCAGAAGGTTAACGTCATCTGGGCACTTGGAAATGTGAAAAGTGAATGGCATCTATAAGAATCAATGACATGAAACCCTCTTTTGATTCATTTGAATCTATTTCAAGCTGTATCAAACTAAATACGAAGAGTTATCAATCTTCTATCCATAATAACAATGTCAAAATATCTTTTTCAATTGCACACCAAAGCATTCAGTCCAAAAACTGATGATTCCCCATCTACCTAATCTCCATACATCAACCCTTGCGTCCAGCTGCAGAAGTGATGTGAGGAGTTTGTCAACAAACTATTAATGGCTGAATCTCGGCTTCTGCTTGCAAACTGTCATATTTCATCGCATCAATCGCGTTTGGTCAGCAACGTGAATTGGCAATCCTGTTTTATACCCTGCCAATCTACATGATTATGTTTGATAGACGGTTGGGACCTGCAGCAGATATTGGCCAAAGCCAACATCAAATTATTGCCAATATACAAGCGAATATTTGCAGAGAGGCATTTAGTTCTTCACTGTGGAGAAATTCCAAGGAATATTTCTGCAAAGATTAAATTTCTTTCGAGAAAGGCGACACAAATATATCATACAAGATGAACCAGCATAAACCGTCTCTTTATGTGGAAGAATTTACAGCTAGGTACAAATCTTCCTGCCACGCTGATTCGAAACGGATGCCATTATCCCTCTTCTTTATGTTTTGTCTTGGTGATTACTCAATATCGTGGCTATTTCTACCAGCTTACTCAAAGATGTAACTGCTATCTCAATGAGAACATAGACTGCTTCTGTATTTAAATTACCAATACCGGGTTTTTTATATTCAGGCCCATGATGACATTCCCCACACAACTGGTTATTACTCGCTGCAAGTTGTTTGTGTGGAAGGGATTGTGACAACCAGATAAATTTTGAGATCATGGCAAAGGACACTATTTCGGGAGATTTTCATTGAGGAGAGAAGAATAGTATCCCAGAGTGTGAGTAGCATACAGTCAACAGTTATCAAAGCTTGAGACAGCCTTTTACGATTTCGATAGTCGGGAATCTGCACGACATCAAAGATACTAGATGGCCTACGAGTCGTCTTGTAATTAAAAAAAAATAAAATAGCATTTTAGTTCAACCCTCTAGGAAGAAAGGATTCTTTGTTGTGAAATTTATCTCATTGACTACAGAAAAAACTCTTCTGGAATTGATTTAGTTTGAAGGACGGTTCGAATCAATTCTTTTCAGACCAAATAAATGCAAATTCCATTGTCTGGGTCCAAGAAGTTTATTTTCTTTGAAGGACACATTCCAAAATCACGATTACACAATAAAAACAAATCACCATTTCTTATCTCTCAGAAGATCAAGATGTTGATTGAATAAATTCAAAACAAAATGAATTAAAAGGAAACCAAAAAATTGTTCAATGAAATTAAATCTAGATATATTACTGAAATTAATGTAAAAAAAACAAAGAAATTAGGTGCGTAAAAAATAAAATACATGTATTCCACATTCAACTGCACGACTATTACATCTGATTAAAGAGGATTATGGGAAATTTTAATTACTATTAATGAGGTTTTGAAGACTGTATTGAAAGTATTAAAATCTTCATTAAGGGATTGTCCTGTTAATTATAAAGTGTAATTAGTCAGTAACCTGAGCTTCATTGGTGACAGGACAAGGATTACAGATGGACTAGCCACGTGCAGGGCACCAAATCAGTTCCTCTTCATTACGATTGGTTAATGAGTCCTGTCGTCTTGACCTGCCGGCCTTTTCGTGTCACAACATTCTGTCATCGGGAGGCACCAAGCCTCTTCCTGCCCTATTGTTCTAATCTGGTTTGACATACAATTTGGGGATCCTCACAGCAATTTAACCTTGAGGACATAATAATTTAATGATTAAAATTTTGAACAAAATTTTTCAAATATGTGATGGACTATCTTTTTTCTTGTAAAACTTTTTTTCAAGGCTTCTGGTACAACTGTAGATGGAGCTGACATGGCCAAAGCATGAATATGTGTAGGACAGTGTATTTCATCGAGTGTAGAAAAGGAACACATATAGAATATTTCTAAGTCTGAAGGCACTTGGGTATTATAGATTGCGTGAGTGAGGGAGTATGGTACCATGCCGTTTTTAGCAATATTCCAGCAATATCATGGTGGGGGACACCAGAAATTGGCTTCACACATTGTACCTATGTCCGGAATCGAACCCAGGTCTTTGCGTGATGAGCAAATTCTTTAATCGCTTTTATTACAGATTGACATAGTGTGTTGGTAGTGAGGCGATTGGGATAAGAGTGTGATAATTCAATAACTGTCCACATGAAAATGCCCCAGTATTGTATCTTGTTTTACAGCTGTTCTGTGTCAGCGGTACAAAGTTTGTAAACATGACAGATTAACTATAGTCATATGAAAACAAAATGGTCATTCGTTAACTTCTTTTGTTTATGTATATATAATAAGAGAGTGTCCAGAAGACACAAAATATTAAGGGACTTGGGTCTATGAGGCTGCAATTTGCTGAGCAGAGTTGCATCCCTTAGAAGTGTCAGGATCCTATGATTGTGGGTTTGAATCCCATTTTCGCCATGATTATGATTCAAGGCATGTCAGCACCATAGCCAGCTTATGGGTTTCAGCAGTGCTGGCAGACGTGTAAGTCCTGTAACACTTCAGGCTTTCCTCCCACATCAAGTCTACACGCCATGATATTACTGTTTACAGTGACATTAACCTAAACTCATTCACTCAATACATATGACTGCCAGATTCTTCATTGTATCATAGCAACACTACCCCTCACGAAATGTGCATCAACTTACCATCTGTTGTCTAAACCAAACTATACCACTCAATATTTGATAGGGATACTCTGAGTGTCGGACCTGAATGTGTGTGGCTGGTTGCTTGGAGATGGTTCATACTAACAGCACACCAATTGTACATCAAGTTCTTGTTGTTGTTTGTTGTTTAACGCCACACTCAGCAATATTCCAGCTATATGACGGCAGTTGTAAACAATCGAGTCTGGAACAGACAGTTCAGTGATTGACATCATGAACATCAATCCACGCAATTAGGATACGATGACATACATCAACCAAGTCAGCGAGCCTGACCACCTGATCCCGTTAGTCGCCTCTCACGACGAGCATAGTCGCCTTTCACAGCAAGCACGGGTTGCTGAAGACCTATTCTGCTACGGATCTTCACGGGTGTACATCAAGCATACCATTTGCTGTTCTCTAGTTATATAACGGTATGAAACAGGACATATCCCTCTCAAATGTTGGGTAGTATATGCTTAAAGCAATGCCATTTTCTAATGAGTCTTGCTAGATCCTAAACTAACCTTGGATGAATACTGCAAATACCAATCTGAAATCTAAAGCCAAGTTCTCAACTGCGACAAGTGTGAATAAAAATAAATCACACATGAATTAATCATAGGACTACATATAGATAACATGGAGCTGTATTCAGTGTATGTTTGTGTATCTTTGTGAAACAGTTACAGGCAATACAAGACTAGTTTTGTTGCAATGGTTCTGGAACACCATGTACCCATGTCGGGAATCAAACCTAGGTCTTTGGCATGATGAGTGAACGCTTTAACCACTAGGCTACCCGACTGCCCCACTGACTGTGACAAAAATATCTTTTTGTATGTGTTTACAGGACTGTAAGTTCAACAACAGTGTCTGCTGAAACACAGCTTAATGTCAAGTTTCATGCTGCCACAGTTTCATAGTGAGTGGAGTGAAGGTGAGGTGAATGGGGTTTCACGGACTTATGCTGATTTCATGGTGCTAGCCCACTGAGATACAATGTCAGAATTTAACACGGATATCCCATTCAGACAGAGTATACTGACTCCAAGCCAAACAGTCCTCGTTTTAGGCCCTTAAGGCCTAGCGCCATGCAGGGTAATAACAAGTACCATCTTTTAACATCTTTTGGTGTGAAACTGTCGGAAATCAAAACTCTGAGCAGCCGCTCTATCCACTAGACCACCGAGACAGTCAGTGCGTGTGTGAAATCCCACTTTGGACAGTGTCTTTTTCAGTTATATCATGTTGTGTCTGCTCAATATTGGTGACAAGCCCCAAGTGATTCCGGCCTTAGATGCTTACACCTTTGATGAAACCTATAAGCATGAATATGACGCTGATAAGCCCAAAACATAAACAACGCAAAACAGAATTCAATCACATGATCACAGGTTCCTGGCACACATAAGGGAGGCAATTCTGCACAGCGAATTGCTTAGCCTTAGATGATTGGGCTACCAGTGCCTACATGAAAAAACTTTCGGTTATAGAAGACTGTACAAGTTGTTCCCGACAAACCTGACATTCTATTAGCAGTTCAAGATGCTACCCTTCAGAGATCTTTCTCAGCCTACGCAAGAGAAACATTTAATAACGAGAGGTGTTGCATTTACTTGCAAAAACAGAAGCAGCTCTGTCATCCCCATTTCCTCAAAACTTCAAAACATAATGTACCACGATGTACTGTGTACTCAAAATATTACTTCCAGACCTTGATCTTAATAAAGACAACTTCCAAAGATCCAACAATTACCAAGTCTCAGGGTGGTACAAATAAAAGAGAAACATTGTCTGTAACGAAGATACATCCATGCTTCACAATACCCTCAAAGTTGACCTTGACCTTTGAACGACAGCACCGTCAGATGGGATAGGATTTGTAAAGTTACACACAAATATAAGTTGCATGCCTGTAGAGTGGCATTATAACCAGGACTCTGAAACAATGTTTCACAAAAAGCTGAACACTGACCTTGACCTAAGATATATTTTGACCATAACCTTTGGAAAGTAGGACCCCATCCCAGAATGGTATATACCAAGTTTCATGATGCATGTCTCTATATTTTATTTGAGAATGTATATATGGCTGAAATAATGCTGATGTGACATTAAATTTTAACTCACTCACTAATCAATCCCTATCTCACTGTGTGTTAACGTTTCTAGCTAACATGTTCAAAATAATGGTTTCATCTGAAAATGTCAAATATGGACTCAAAAAGTCAAAGTCAGTATCTGAGGGCACTGAATGATTTAACAAAGCTAGGACAATTTTCTCTAAAATACTGTTCATGATGTTTTTTCTTTTGTTTCAAAACATTCTCAAACAAACACATGTAACTCTTCAACTTGGCAATTACAATGGTGAATTCTTCCAAGAAGAATAAAAACATTGGACTAATTGACATATTTGTCCCAAAACACAAACCGCACTGTTCCCAATTTTTTCTTGCAGATGGTTTTAAAGTTGAACTTTTGAAAACATCAGCATGGTGTTGCATGGGCAATCCTCTTGGAACTCTAATAACCATGGAGACACGTCAGTGGGTTTACTGCCTTCTCCTATGTTTCTACCAACACGGCTTTTACTGGACAGTGGATCAATGACAGAAGCAATTGTCTGGAATCGGATCACCGTTGTTGGACCAACTCGTCACCACGGATCCAATACCGGTCTCAGGCCATGTACTCATTCCGTCAAGCAACCAACTTCAAAGCGATTATCAAACCATCTTTTTTATTCCCTTTCCCTTGGCAAACAAAAAAAATAGTTTGACTCTCAATGTAAAGCCTCTGGAAAATTGTTTGTATCCCTGAAGTGGAAAAGTAATTTGTTGTATGTGACGGTGAGAGGCCCGGCCGGGGTGAGACTTGACCAGGTCGAGGAATCAAGGTGCCACAATGTGCTTGCTTCGACAGCTTACATCACTACAGTTGCCATGGTGTTATCTCTGAAACATGTGCCAGGCATGGTCAAACAGATTCGCTGTTTTTAACGACAGCAATCTGTCATTCGAAAATAAACTTCTCTCAAATTACAAGATTCATACTTCTTGAGCAGTAAAACGACTTTATCAAAACAAACCCTGCAAAACGTAGACCAGCAGATATTTCTTAGCCAAAGCGTTCATAAAACATAGTGTTTTTTTCTTCCTGTCCAATGCTATCACATTACATCTTTGCTTCAATTGATCTTGCTACGCCAGATTAAGTTTTCTGGATCTTTAAAGATTATTCTGTAGCAACAAAAATAAAAAGTGAAATTTATGGCTTTTAAATCTCGGACAAAAAGCTAGCTGACACTATATTAGTTTCAACTCTTTACTTAACAGTGAATTGCCTGCATCAAAGATTTACTGCAGCTGCAGAGAATACAAATTTAAGATTTTAGAAATACTTCAAGTATTTTAGCGTCTAGCTCACATGTGTGTCAAGCAGATGGCCATTGTTTGAGCAGAAACACAAGAGGAGAGGACAGATATACTCCCAAGTTTGGTCACATTTATTCACAACTCCAACTATAGGGGAAGAGACAATATTTAAGAATGTGATAAACAGAATTATTTACCAGTCCTGTATAAGTGATTGCAGCTCTCTGATTGGCTGATTTAAAAAGTTCTGGAAACAATATAATCTATATTGGCCAGTGGTTATTATCATGAGCAATAATCCTAATTTTTATCAGCTCCTATGACAATTATGGTAGAGCTCGGGACCTATTCTGACACCACATTACTTCAGTCACTTGTATCATTTGTATCATTTGTATCAATTGTAGTGTAAGTGTCTGTGCGTGCACGTATGTGCTTATAAGGCCACACTCGGTAATAATTTCCAGCCATATGACAGCAGCCTATAAAAAAAAATAATCCCGTAGACATCCGGAGCAACGATTCACACCATCGCTGAGCCTGACCACCTGATCCGTTGTCTTTATGATTGGCATAGGTTGCTGGTTATGAGCGGCTAATTCACACTAAAGTCTGTCTCAAGTCTAGAATGATTGGGCAAGTCTACATTGCCTTTGCTCTCTGAAATTAAGCATTGTTCTGGGCTCTATTTGGATTTTTTAAATTTTAATTTGGCAGATACATATTTTGAAACAAGATAAATTTATTTCCGAGGCTAAATGTCAGTCTAATAACCATCTGCAAAATTTCAGCACAATTAAAATCTCAATTCGTTTTTCACACTAATAGGGTTTGATCGTTTGGAAGGGCCAACACACAGTAACCAATTCTATATCCCACTTCATAGCTGGCGACAATTTGCTGGAGATTCAAATTATGGCTAATCAGTCACTCTTGGATGAATGTTGTCCTTTGCCTCTGCCTAAGGCATGCTCAATAAACACATTACCCTATGGGCTGGTGCCGTTCCCGGATCCAGATGGTCTCGGCAGCGGCTGCAGGAAGCACAAGGAAGAGCTTTTCGGCTTTTTCAAGGATGGATGGATTATTTTCAGGAGAAAATTCCAAATATATTTCAAAAGAATTTTGTACTTTGAAGATTGGTGTAGGTTGATGTGTAGATCAGGGTTCACTGGTACTGAGCCAGAGCTGTGGTGAAATGTATGGTGGTATGAGATCTGGGTTGTGTCACTTCCTGTGCCAGTGAAGACAAAGTGATAATGTGATATTGTAGTTTGTTGCGTAATTAGACCAGGATCAGACAAACCATTGTTGAATGGTAAGAGAGAAGCCACACAATTGGCCAGAGTGAGTGAGTGAGATGGGTTCATCACTGCTTTGAACAGTACTATATCAGTGCATGTCAGCTTGATTACGGTGCTGACAAACCTAGAAACAAAACTGGACAAACTGTGATTCAAACCCACGATCATGGGTTTCTCGGGCCTGCCAAGGGACACAACTCACAGAGAATCATGGTGCCTCAGACAACTAGGCCCCCACAAGCGCCACCCCACCCCACCCCTCCCCCAAACTAAGGATCATAGAGAAGGCAAAACTGGAATATAAAACAACAATCAATGGCTCCTGGCAAGGCTAAGGGACACAACTTCCACAGTAAACAACGGCTTGTCCACCGGGCTACCTTTTCCTGACCTAAGTCACTTTTATGTCAAGTACGAGATAACCTAGCACCATATCTTCTATCGAATGCCTCAGGGTGTTGCACTAAGTGATATTTGCACTGCAACCCTTTTAACCATGCCTTCTGTCGCACCATGCACTTACACACACAACAATCCCCCTGAAAAACATGATCCAGGTGCATGCAGACCTGTGTTTAAATGATGGTGTGGTTGACATCCAAGTATAGTAGACAAACAAATATGATAGGTGTAAGAAAATCATATCCCTTTCACATCAACCTCCCAATATCTGTACGAGCGAATTTAATTGAATTGCACATAACTAACTTATCCGATAATCGTTGCAATGAATAAGACATAGGGTCCCAAAACATTCCAAGTTCACACACAAAAGTGTGAAGCAATCCTCAAGTTTCGGTGCACGCATATGGCCAGCCCCTACATGTAAACACCGGCCATCAATAAAATCAGTACAACACAAGTCTCTAATGACCGCTCTGCATGTCAATCGGACAATGGCATGCTCAAAGTGGACATTCAAGACACACACGAGTAAATCAGATCGTTAACGACTGACCTACGCGGCAAGGTCTGGTATTGACCCTCTACTTCATTAGCAACAGGAGTCGATCGCTTATCTTCGTCATACATATGTATACCTAATGGCTTATTAATGACAGTGTCCACTGCTTGGTCAGCCTAATACATACACCACATTACAGACGGGGTCAAGCCCAAGCAATCTGGACGAATAGTAGGCGTAGTAATGGATGATCCATCGCCTGACAAGGTCAGCCGTCTCCCTCTGGGATTTCAAAACAGCGAGTGAGGGTGAAGCGGTGTTCATAATTATTTAGAGTGAGTGAGTGAAATGGGTTTAATTCTGTTTGAAGGAGTATTCCATTTATATCAAGCTGTGTCCCCTTGATGTTGGAGTGAGAGAGTTAATATTTAACGTCACATTGGCAATATTTCAGACATATCGTGACGAGAAGTTATACATTAAGTGAGTGAGTGAGTGTTATGGTTTAAAGATGGTTTAAAGCCGCTTTTAGCAATATTCCAGCAATATCACGGCGGGGGACACCAAAAATGGGCTTCACACATTGTACCCATGTCGGGAATCGAACCCGGGTCTTCAGCGTGACGAGCGAACGCTTTAACCACTAGGCTACCCGACCGCCCCTTATACATTATGAATACATACATTTAGATAAAATAAAATCCTGTGATTGGTGGACAGTAAATGACAGATGTCATGATACATAATAAAAAAGGGCTATAGATCGCAGCAGCTGAAGGTAGATCACTATGCTAGGGTCCATGGGGACTTACAGTACAGGGTGCATGGGGACTTACACTACCTTTGCTACCTGCATGGACCACAGCCGGACTTGTTGTTGGAGATGAGGTGAAATCGGGTTTAATGTCGCGTCCAAGATTATTGCACTTCTATAGCGATGTGCATGCATGTGTGTGTCTTAGTGTGTGTGGCTGCTTGTACTAGAACGGACTGATGCCGATTTATAGTGCCAGCTAACTGAGATACCATGCCGCAGTTTAACATGAATACCCCACTCAGACACCTGGCCATGGTGTTTTTTTATAAAATTTACCAATTCTCATTTAATTTATATATATAACATCCAATTCTTTTATATGACTATAGTTAATGTGTAATGTTATTTTTTCAGTAAATATTAGAGTAAGTGAGTGAGAATGGTTTTACGACGCTTTAAGCGGGGACACCAGAAATGGGCTTCACACATTGTACCCATGTTGGGAATCAAACCAGGGTCTTCGGCGTGATGAGCAAACGCTTTAACCATTAGGCTACCTGACGGGCACCAGTAAATATACGAACATAGCAGGCCCTAATACTGCAGTGTCGCATGACACTGAACAACAGAGCCAGTAGCATGCAAGACAAAATCACAACCCAAACTACCAGAGTTGAATAATGTGCTCCCTGATTTCATAAAACTTAAAAATATCTTAGTTGCCAACTACATCCTTAAAATAAGATTTGTTCAGAACTAATACTTTTTTACATCTGAAATCAACCCTCGGAAAAACATTTAAAAAAACATACTTATTGAAATCAAAAGAACTACTTCCAATGCCTGATCTGGAAGGTCAGATCTTAATCACTAAAGATGTATTTCCATGTCAATTCAATACCCTTATGTCACCCCCTTCCCTAAATCTTCACAAAATAGGGAGAGATGACTTTTAACTTGTAAGTATTTCTTCATGTTGGAGAGAATATGTGATACAACATCCTTCCCCAAATCTGTGTTTGGGTGCGAGAGCTGTTTATCAGATTTCCTGCTTGTGTTAGGGTTAACATGGAATTAACATGGCACTGCCACGGAGCTTCAAACACTACAACACTGCGTAATCTAATGACACAATTAGGGCAGTGGATTCACTCTCTTGGCAACAAACTATACCCCTATAAAAATGTTTCAAACTCCAGCTTCTGACATAATTCTTGTGAATATGAGATTATTGCCGGGACTGAGCGGGTATGACATGTGTGTGCTGCATTATTGAGTTGACAGCGCCCCCTAGCGCTCATTACTGACCGCCAAAGTATCTCCGGGGAAGGATATTTTCTTCAATTACACAATATGCGAAGTAACTGCAATTAATATTTCATAACCAAAACTGCAATAAAAATGCTTTACGACTGACTGCAGCAGTGAAACTTGAAGTTTTCTCTAACTGGTCCGATTGTACATCTGTAATGAGAGAGCTTCATATGAAACACTTGCATTCACTTGCCAAGTAGTTTCTGTGAAAGAACAAAACAGCTCTCTAATAGCTCTAATCGCTCTCAAACACAGCCACGTGATGCCAAATGGCCACCAGAAAGGTTTGTTATTGAAGGCAATATTACAGATTTAGACAATTACAATCAACCACTTGCCATTACACATCAAAAACTATACCCAATCATAAAGGTCATACAAAATATGAAATGGGTGGAAACAAAATGAAATACCACATAAAAACTCTTTTGTTTGTTTCAAAGATTTATAAAAAAACATGCAAAGCCATGATTTCTTTTAATTTACTACTAGGCCACAATAATTTCGTAACC